AAAATATTATCTGCATTTCATGCAATACCAGTTACCATCCATATTATTAAATACCATATATTTCCTGCCTACGAGATCGTGCTTCTAATATATCCTGCCTTTTAGTTTCGCTAATTAACTAAGCTATACGTAATATGAAATACTTTAAGCTTATACTTCAGTACTCTATGATTGTTTCATAATCACCGCCAAAATTGTCTTCTCGTAAGTGTTATTAAAATGAAGAAATAATATAATAATTAGCTAGTAGCATTGCAAAAATGTTATGATGCAAAATTGTTAGCTCAATTTTATCTCTAACGTTTGATATATGCTTCGGTGTTGATTTTGACACTTTCAGCTGATTACATGAAATCTCTTACTCGAAAGATTGTTTAATGTTAAAAATATAATATCTAAGGAGTAATATATTTGGAATTCAGAAATACGCTCCATGTTTAAGAATTTTAATAATTATGAACTACACGACAACGTTCATTTTTAAAATTTCTATGGTAGGACGACTAATTTTGTGGTGGTATAAAATAGATCTGCAAACTCTTTTTCTCTACACCGGAAAATTTATTATTTATTTATTTAATTTTATTAAACCTTTCTAATAAACTCTTCCAGATTTTATTTCTATATTATCTTTGTGTAAAATCCATTATCGTTCAGTGATATTCCTGCGATGTCCTGTTCAATACTCATACGCCATCTGTATTCTGATGGGAATTTTTGGTCACTGCCAGCTTACAAAAGATTTCGGCTGTTTAATACTTGAGGCTTCGAATATGTAGGTGAAAGTAACCAAAAATAACTCCGGAAATGATCTTAATATAACAACTAGATCTAGGTAAGGAAATTTTTTTTTTTTACTAAGTTGTGGGTTTTTTTTATCTATTTACATTTTGCGAATTACATAATTGTAGAAGTAGAATCTAATGCTATATTATAGTTGAAATTTCCAAACAAAAAAAAAAATTCCAATATTACACTTGATAATGATTTATAATAACAAATAATAAATATAAATTGTCATGTGTATAAACTATTAAAATTTGAGTCATAAGATTTGTGAAACAATAAACACACGAGATTTTTAATCAACGACGCGTTTGATATAAATATCGAAGGGTAATTCGATCCAAACAAATTTTTTTTAATTTGATCTTTTTAAATTTTCATAATACTTTTTTTAAAAAAGGTTTTTTTTTTATTTTAAATATGTCGGATCCTTGTACTATTCGTCCCCACTCGGAATCTGTAGAAAAAATTCCCATATATAATATATTTGATTTTGTTCCCTTCATGGTTATATAAATTTATTAGTTGATAACTATGAAAAAGTTGATAAAATGGTCGCCCAAATCCTTCTATAAACGTTAAATTCAATCAATGACAATGAAAATATGTCTCAAGAATTCCGTTATGTTGCCCAACGACTCTTGATAAGCAAAAAAGTGAGTAAAATATGCATATTATTATAGTCAGATGAGGCCAGGTTCTTTCTTGTACCTATTAATTTATTTTAATGGGAGTGGTAACACTTGTCTTACACTTACAAGTTAATAGAAAGTTTTTAATACAGAAATTTTATATTCCAGCATCCAGCAATCTATCTTACTTAATTTTTATTCTGATTATTCTTTTGTGTATTATTTTCTCATTCAATTTCTTTTATATAGACCAATATTCTTCAAGCTAATAATAGCTTTTGGAGCCCTACGTCACCAACGTCATCATCGTCCAATAATGGAAAAAAGAGAAGTGCAACAGATTTGATAAGCACTTCATCTATAATTCCTACAATTATCCCAAAAATGACATGATGCTTTGTTCCTGACAAAGATGTACCGTTGAATGTTCATTAGATATCCTTGAAGTTATAAAGTCAACCGTACATACTTTTGACAAGGACATTATTGAAATAGGTTCTTCCTGCTCGTATAAAAGCTCAAAACATCTACGAATAGATTATGAGCAATATTCAACTTTTCTTCCTATTCAACGGTAAATTTTTCATAATTAACAAAATCAAAATATACTATATGGGAGATTTGGATGCACATCTATATTGGAAGGTTTGGAACAGAAAATAATTTATTATCTTAATTATTTATATTTGATTTGTTATTATTAACCAGCCTTTTATGATCATCTTCTCATTAGTGATGATAATTAAAGGTCACGATGAAGTCATTTAAAAGATTGATAATCAATTACTTGGATCATTTCTCTCCCTCCTTGCTAAAAATTCCGGGTTTCTTATGAGATTGTTAGATATTTGAGACATAAAGACTCGTATGTAAAAATTTTTTTTTGGTAAAAAAAAAAAAAAAATAAGCGAAAAATTTATGCCGTTTAATTTCCTGAATAGATATATGTCGCAACATCGAAATTTAAATCTCTTTGGTGTCGCCATAGTAGCTACATTAGAGCAGTGGCCATGTCGACAGTAAATGTGCATGCAGCTAGTCCTCATGCAATGTAAGTTAAAAATTGTTGATTCACTTCTTTTCTAATTTATAATAATTGTTTTTAACTCACCCTTATTTTTTTATCAGTTTTGGAATAATAATCTTTACGGTTACGGCATTTCAAATTGCATTAGGTTTATTGGTGATTTTGGGTTGGCTAATGTCGATCAGCAGCTCTGGATCGTTTGTCATTTAAAACGTTTACGTTTTTATTTGGGTTATTGTACTTGGTAAATTTATTTTGAATTATATCGAGTTACTTCGTCATGCATTTACATTTTGGATTCTTATTTATTTGGTTTGTATAGGACGCAAATATTCTTGGGATTGATTAAATATGGGGCGGACAAAGCATATATTTGGACCTAAAGGTTTGAATCGGCCAAAAATTCTTTAACCCAGTTAATAAACGGTTAAAATGTTTGTTAACCGGTTAATTAACCGGTTCCAACCTTTATTTGGACCTTTTTAGCATGGTTATAAAGAAAGATAACTTTATGTCGTTTTTAAATTTTTACCAATCATATTAATGATTATTTTTTTTAAAACAAAAAAAAAAATTCGCGTTTTGAAGTTTTAATTGGATTTGTGATAACGCAAGCGAATTTTTATTACAAGATTAAAAATATGTAATTCTTAGACTAACCGATGATTTATCGGCACGTATCCGTGCTTGTATTCCTCATATATTTTATGAACATGGAGCGTATGTATAATATTTAATGGAATTTTTTTTTTATAAATTATTAACTAATAATTTAATGTATTTTAATATAGGAATTTAATCAAAGGGTTATGACAGAAGCTAACCTGTTAAGCGGAAGGATTAGTATTTGATATCCAATACATCAGATGGACAAAAGATCTTACAGCGTGTCATTGCGACAGATATATCCAACGACTTCTTTTTCGATCCATCAGTTGTAACAGTAATTAATCAGAACTTTAGTAAGCATCATGAAATCAATCTCATACACCGACAAGCATAATCAGGTGCTAACGAATAAGTGGTGAGAATAATTCAACAAAATATATTCATTGGTCATAGGGTTTCCGTTTGAAATACAAATTGCATTTCAAATATTTAAAAATAATTTCAAATGAAAATCGAAATGATTTTGGATATCGAAAGTCATTTCGGATTATCGAATTGATTTCGAATACTCGAAAATCAATTCGGATACCAAATCATTTCGGATGTCCGATATTGGTTTGTTTCGATATTTTTAAATTTTTCGATTAAGCTTTAGTTTTATTTTTTTACATTCTTTTTTTTTATTTTTTTTTATTTCATTTATTTTAAAATAAATAATCGATCGATAAGGTCGATCGAAATGATTGATAATATCCGAATTGATTTTCGATATTCGAGTCGATCGAATTGATTGATAATCCGAATGGATTTTCGATATTCGAGTCGATCGAAATGAAATGATATCCGAATCGATATTCGAGTCGATCGAAATGATTGATAATCGAAATGATATCCGAATTGATTTTCGATAATCGATACCGAAATGAAATTGAATTGATTTCAAATATTCGAATATTAATCATGAATTTTTATTATTTACAAACAAAGATTCGAATTTTCTATTTTCAAACGGAAACCCTAATTGGTCATTCTGTTAGAATGTTTTATCAACATTTTTTTTTAATCGCGGAATTGTTTATTTCCGATAATAATAATAATAATAAAAATATACAAAAAAAAAAAAAAAAAAAAATCACATCGAAGTAAAATTTATAATTATGTGATTTACTACTATATATAGGAAGTTTCACAGTTTGCTTAGTGATGCCGACAGCCCGACCCAACAACCCGATAGAGCGACAAATTTTTAGAGAAACATGCGCTGAATGTAGAAAATAATTATTGTGTATTCATTAATTATTTAAATTATTAGTTAAATATCATATTAATATAAGAAAATGTGGGACACATAACAACAATATTTTATACCATCAAGGGTAACGAAATAATTTTGCTTTTTAAAATAAACCGATTCATCGTTCACGAAGACGCCTCTCGATTACGTATCTTAATTTAAGCCCTCTCCTTCTAACCGAACCACACGTGATTTCTTGAAACCTGATATTATTCGATTCTATAGGAATTTTGGTTATCTGTTCGTAAAAATATTAGAAATCTTCACAAATTGTATCCGAAAAGAAAGTACTATTTCATCCTTTTTGCGATAAAGTAATTCAAACCGGACTAGTATTACATCCCCGGTGAACTTTCTGCTCTTGAATGTCAAGTTTCGAGTAGTGTGTTCAACCATTAACTCACAGGGATCGGGAAGTAATTTATTACCAATGAGATGTATAATCTTTATATCCAATAGTTGTGACTTGCTCGCGTATATCATTATTCACATCAATTCATGGATTTTAGGAATCTTAAATGCTTATAATAAATCATGCACATATCAACATGCTAACAATGGTTGTATATGTTTTTGGCAGGAGGTGGTGATTCATTTCTTGACAGTTGCTATGTTTGTGCTAAAAAACATGTGACCGGTCTTGGGCATTACTTGCAGCTATTTAGGAAAGAAAAAAAAAGAATATTTCTTTAAACCATTGTCATCATTATATAGATTCATATTACCTAACGTTCTACATAAACTTCCAAAGTCAAATTTTGTTTATTTGATTGAGTAACTTCTAGTACAATTTTCCATTTATTATTAAAATAATCAAACTTTATAATTGTGATAGTCGCATAATAATTACAATCAGGTCGTTATGTGGAGGAAGTAACGTGACACAAATTGGCGGAATTTTTATGTGGATACCGTTTTTTTTTATTTATTGAAAATCGCTTAAGTAACTCTTTATAATAAAAATAATTTTGGTTAGAAAAAAAACAAATATAAATAGTTGCCGATTTCATTATTTATGTTCCTTGTCTTATTCTTTTAATTCGCAATGAATTAATAATGACTAATCAATCCCTTAATTCTACAGTAATCAACTTCGATGAGTGGTGTTCTAATGTATCTTTACGCTCCTTGTATATACCTTTTAATCAATATTTAACCTAAATATAAAGGATCATAAAAGATATAAAATTTTTCATAAATTTATTGCTAAAGTATTAACGTTAAGTCATGAACTCATTAAATATTTCAATATGGCTGTCGCAATTCAGAAAAATGAATTACGTAAAATGATAAAATTTGCTGAATAAAAAAATTTGTGTAACGTGAATAATTTAACATTATCGTGTTGTATCTTTATTATAACATTTCTTTCTGCAACATGACTTTAAACTAACATTTTTTTTTTATTTTTATCATCTCTAAAAGATTAGATAGCTCAAATTCATAATTTTTCAAAATGAAGTTTAATGACTATAAAATTGATTTCATAATTTCTACAATTATTTCGTTTTCTATATTACCAATAGAAACGATAATGTTTATTAAACAAAAAACTAGCAGGGCTGTTTTTAAATTTTTTTATATTCAAAAAAAAAAAATTACTTAATAAAAGCGAACAATTCAAATAAAAAAATACATTTGATTAACGGAGGAGGAAATATATTCCCTTTGTGAAACTTAAGTATCTAATCCTTAAATTAATTTAGGAACCGTGGTCTCTCTTGGAATTGAATTGTCTATACTTTTGTAAGCGAGCACGACGGCTTAGATTCGGTGCTATGGTTGTGATCGCAACTAAAAGAAATGTGTATATACACACGATTGTGCAAACTTATTCTCCTTATCAACTAAAGAAATGAATATTTTACGCACGCTAGATAATGTTATAACGGAAAGAATAGTTTCTTATTTCACTTGAGAATAAATTGCCAAATTTTATTCAAAATTTTGCAAGATAAAATTTATACGTTTAAGATTGCATTCAGATGCCAGTAAAATTATGTTTGAATAACTTGAATTTAATAGAAACAACTCTAGATTATCTGATTTTATTATTACAATAGAGCAACTTTATATCCCTAAAAAATGCAAATAATTTTTTTTTTTAATGTTCATTATCTTAGGGGAGGGCCCTGTCATCATCCAATATTAAGAGTATAATTATAAATATTCTTTAATTTTCAACGGAATGAATTTATGGCTAAAGTTCTCATAGAAATTGACTATTAAACATTTCTATTACAAGCTTTGGCAATGTTTTCCATGTTTTTATTAACGAAAAATGACGACCAGATAAAATTTACAAAGTAAAACTTTCATGGTTATTTGTAATATTCAAAATCATATCATAGACTGCATTTGTACTTCAATGTCATGTCAATTTTAAGTTTTGTAAAAAATTATGTAGTTCATTAAAATTCGTGGCGTAACATTGATAATAATTTTCCTTAATATCAAAAAAAAAAATTTTATCATGTTATTTTCGCATTCCACTTATGGAAACTGATAGACATTTTTTTTTCTTTTGAATGATTAGCGATCAACACAGACTATATTGATATATGATAAAAGATGGAGTCATTACTTATTTTGAATATAGTGAACTCATCAATGTTTTAAAATTGGTCTATCACATTTAAATTATGAATTCAAATAATAAAAATAACAAATAAATTAAAAATTTTTTAAAAGACTCCGATATCGAGGTTATATTATGTTATATGTCTGGCAAACGTTTTAAACTCTTTTTTTTTTTTTATTAATTTTTTTAAGTATTGTATTTCTACTCCAGAAAGTCATTTAAAGTTCATAAAGGTACGAAAACAACCTGAAATTATATTTATTTATTTAGTCATTAAATTTAATTTAATTTTTAAATACCCGCAATTTTTTGATTTATAATCGCACGTTCTAATATTATAATATTATATTTTTAATCTATTATTTTTAATTTGCATACATCCCTTATTTTTTTTTTTTTTTTTTTTTTTTTTTTTTTAATTTAATCTTCGGATTTAATTTATTTAGGGGTGTCTCATAGTATCGATCAGACGATCTTCGGGTGCCTGAAATTGAGATTCCAATTTCCAATTTCAGATATCCTTTTTGTTATTGAATTCCAATTTCAGTCATGATCTTATTTAAGATACGAGACAATCCGAAATTGAGGTATCTGAATTCAATTTCAGATGAGGCCATCTGAAATTGGATATCTAAAATTGAACTTTAGATAGAATCTGAATTTTATACAAATTATGTATTTATGAATTAAATTAAAGTAATATGTACATAATAAAATTTTTATGATTTTTTTTTACTAGACTACTACTCTATTATTAAAAAAAAAAAAAAAAAAAAAAAAAAAAATTATCGATTCCTTTTCTCTAAAATAAAATTATTTAACTCTTTATAATATTTTCAAATTTTAATTATAAAGTTTACCTCTAGCTTCGAAATAGCATAATTATATAGGTAACTCGTAACGGGAGTTCCTTATCGATTTGGTTCCTGCTGTTATAAAAGAATTAAAAAGAAAAAAAAAGTGAATGTGTTTAATTTGATCTTATAATTGAATGATTATTTTTTTTGCTTTTTAGGTTAGTTCACTTCGATCTAAAGATTAAAAAAAAAATGAAAAAAAAAGATGAAAACAAAATGAACAAGATCACTTATTTAACTGACACGGTCGATAAACCTGCATGAAAATAAAATAGAAATAAAACAAAAAAAAAAAAAAAGCTTACGTTATAATTTTAAAAATAGAAAGTAAAAAAAAAAAATGAAAAAAAAAAGAAAAAGAAAAACCTACATTAAGCAGCAGCCCGAATGTGATCAAATCCTAAAAAAATATTTATAGATTAATGAACCTTTTGCAATAGAAAAGGCGGAGCGGCTGATAAAAATAAAACAATTGATCGACATACACTTTGCTAATTTTTTTGTTAAAAAAAGGAATGCCAAGATTATTTGAAGCTGAATTAGGCATCGAAAAACTAAAAATTTTGTCCGTGATCGTTACGAAATACAATGAATAAAAATTGATTAGAATCGAATATCCGAAAAATTTTGACAGAATTACATAACAGAACGTGTTTATTTAAAAGAAACTGATTGTTTTTTTTTTTTACAATTTTGTCCCTTTTTAAATCTACAATATTGAAAATCATTTCATAACGATAATCAAATGTTGAATATCGTAAAAGGAATTTTGATGATCTGCCTTTCCTCGTGAACTTATGAAAAATTTTTCTATATATATAGCATGGATCGAATCAAAACTTCATCAAAACATACTTACTACTCCTATTAAAAAAAAATATATAAATATATTCGCCATGAAGTTTTCCACGATCATTGCAATCGTCTTTAGCCTATTATCGATGGCGCTCATGCTCATTGAAGGTAAACTTGAATGATCATGACAACATATTAAAATATTTAATTAACATCTGCTCTAATAACTATATATATTTTTTTGGATGGAATAAATTAGCTGATCATACCGTGTGGATACAGAACAAGGTAACGTCAGGTACATGGACAAATGTTTCAGCCTCCGTAACTAATGGCGGCGACTCCTTCAACGCCGATGGTGATTGGGCGCACAATGGTTATTCTGTGTCTATCCCTGATTCAGTAAATTCATATTGGCTCCAATTCAGAGTTGCTGCATCTACTGAAGATAACAAATGGCGCGGCCCAATCCCTAATGATGGGGATAAATGTTGGCACTTTCATGGTACTATAGATAATTGGAAAGTATATGAATGTAAAACGGAAAAATGATTATTCATTATTATTATTATTATTATTATTATTATTATTATTATTATTTAATCATTTCTTATATTATATCCATTCATTTAATTCATTTTATAGTCATAACTTAATAACTTTCAAATTAGACACCTCCATAAGGTTATAATAATGATAATTTGAAGAATCCCTTAAATTGATATAATTTATTACCTTATTTCTGCTATATTTTAAAACTTTATTTATTTTATCGATTTTCATAACTACTTTTAAATTGATAAATAAACAGTTATTGAATACTTTACAGCATTATTATGTAATATCAAAATATAAGATTATGCCCCGAGTTATCGTATATCGTAAAAATATCGAATTAATATACACATTATGCTCCGGCCATCCGTCTTTAAAATCAATTATATGATTGAATTTTCCCTAGATGATCGTAATTTTCTCCGGTATAGATTAAGTCCCTTAAATTTTATCAAGTTATAATAATAATGATATGATACAAATTGAAGTGAAATTATTATTTTTAAATTTTTTTTTTTTTTTTTATGATCAAGTAGCGCGGTAGTTATCTGCATGCGCATAACCTTTTTACCAAATGTTTTAAAAAAACCTTTGCAGTGTTCAGTTACCAAATTTAGAAATCCACTAAATATACCATTGAGTATTTATTAAATATAAAAAATGAAATATTATAAGTATCAAATTGACAAATATTTCAAAATGTACGATACGATAAATAAAAAAGATACTTTATATAAACAATTAAAATAAAGAAATTTATTTGATTAACGGAGCGGAGGAGGTGATTTAACCCTTGTAAAAATATAATTAATATGTGATATCAAATGAGGCATAGAACTAGTCAAATTGATTATTCTGGCGTACTGTAAACAACATGAAGTATTGAATAGAGGGAAACCTTTTATTGACTTTGTCACAATATCAAAAATCACATTCAACAAATAACGCACTTTTTTTGTCGGATAATAAATCTATAAATATTATCTTTGCCTATACTTCTACTTCATTAAAACACTCTTAATGATAGAAATCTGTGATGTGTTGGAACTGAAACAGGCTACGAAGCCAAGAAAACTCAAAGAATAACCATAGAATGAAAGAATATTGTGGAAATACGTATTATACAAATTTTCGATTTTTTTTTGAAAAAGAAATTATCAAATTGGCATTTATTCTTTTGGTCAGGGTTTCCGTTTGTAAATAGAATATTTTGTTTGCAATTCCAATATTAATTCGCAATTATATAAGATATTCGAAATCATCAATTAAAATTAAATTAAAAAAGATAAAAAAAAATACTTACCCAACCCATTTACCCAATCGAAAAAAATATTTGAATTTCAAACAGAAACCCTAGCTTAAAATACAGCCAAAAAAAAATCTTTTTCGAAACATTTATTTACATTACATTATTCTTCTTATCATCTTTTTTGTACTATTTAAGAATTATGTCCGATATAATCGAAATCATGGTATTTTGAGGAATTATTGATGCTGAATAACGTGTATTTTGGAAGTAAGTTTCTTTTTTTCAATTTTTTTTTTGACTCATTTTAGTTGACATTATGGGAAATTTTTCCCGACAAAGGCAAATACCGTAGTCATATTAATTTTGCCATTAATAAACCTTTTTCATAACCCAAAAGGGGCAATATCGCATAAACATACAACGTCCGCCACCACTGGTACAGAAATTTTCGGTCAGTTGATTAATCTATTGTGAATTTTTTTATATTAATATTCAAATGCAAATTAGAATAATTTTTGTCCCAAAAACTTCCTCCTCGTAAACTTTTCTCAACGGAGCCAAATATCATCACAACAAACTTCTTCCTTCCTGATGAGCCGAATATCATCGCAAACTTTTTTCTCAATCAACGTTATCAGGAGTTACTAATTGACGGGTGAAGTTTAGTTAGTTTAGTTTCTGACCTTGAACTTTTGAAAGTACAAATTCTCCAGAAAGAAATTGTAGAATGTATAATATGGTTCTTTTTTTAATGTATGTAAGGTACGTATGTTTATGGTTTTTCTATACTATACAAATATGAACCTTATTTGTAAAGTTTGAATTAGGTTTTGTTAGGAAGTTACTTTACTTTCTTTTAATGGTTTTAAAGTGTCTAAACATTTATAATTTAATTACTTTTATTTATTTTATAAATTACTTTTATAACAATGCGAAGGGAACGAACTAGCTTTATTTTTGCTAAAATCCTAGTTTTTTATCTTATTATTACGAACAGATTTTATTACTTTTCCTTTTTTTTTTTTTTAACTTAATATTAGGATCTTCATCCAGCAAATTTTGATTGATATTTTAAAGGTATGCTATATGGAATTCTCTAATTCTCGAATTAATAAGTTGATAGATCAAACGTGTATCTATAATCAATGTTCGAAACGGGAGACATCCACTTGTGATTTCTCATAATAGGACGCCTAAATATATATATCTGATTTCTTGTTTCTTACATAATTTATATAACATTATGGACCAAACATTCCTTCAACTCTTGAACTTCTTGTAACTTCAGTAATATTCTTTGACAACCCAAGGTCATTTTTTCAAAGATTTTAAAAAAATTAATTTTTATATGATTTAACAATTTAATCGTTTACGAGTATGATAATAAATTATAAATAGTATTACCAAATCTCCACGAATTATACCAAAATACATCAATCCAAAAGTTAATCTAATGAATTATATCTTTAATTTCCTAAATCTCTTAAGATTCCCCATTGGTTAGGAATAATTAACTCTATTGGATTTGAAAAGATAAATTATTCGGAAATTTACTTTGTACCATCCATTATTCCAATAAAGTGATTGATATTTCGATGATAATGAACAATACGTAAAGATAAATTTGATATTTTATTGTCATATGCAATCCGGTTCAAATTGTACAATTAATTCACATGACAGAACAATAATACATTTATTGTAGTGATTCGATTCTATCAAATATCAATCAATCAAAATAGAATTAAAATCGATTAATTGAAAGACGAACAAAAAATTTGAATCTATTCTTGAGTTTTATAGTAAGTACAGCTATAATAAAACTTTAAAAAATATAATTACTTTGCGAAAAAAGTAATAACGGAATGACAAGAAAAATATTCAGAAACCAAAAAAAAGGTTATCCAACCAAATTTGAAGGATTATAAATAAAATTAAAAACAAAAATAAAATAAAAGAAAAAGCATCTAATTACTGCATGAGCGATTAAATCTAATAAAAAAAAAAAAAAAATCCGAATTATCCATTTCGTGCGAAGGAGAAATTTTAAGAAAGAATCAATGAGAGACATGATAAAATATTTGATTGCTGCAAACCCGAAGGCAAAAAAAAAATTAAAACGATCAAAGAATTATTAAAAAAGATTTTATAAAAAAAAAAATGAAAAAATAAAATAATTCGATCCATAACGCATATTCCAAATACCATATCCCATATCCCATATCCTATATCCAAAATCCAAAATCCAATTTATATTATATTCATATTTTTAAGTATATTTCGAGCAATATCCCATTTACAAAAATAAATAGTAATCATTTGAATCATCTCATCAAGGCAAACTGGTTTCATTTTATATTGCGTAGTATCGGCCATCCTAACTAGAGGATTAAGATTTTATATTTATAAAAATATTAATTAAAAAGTAAATAAATATATATCAGTATATTAATTTATAAATAAATAATTTTTATTTATTTTTCAAATCAATTTTGTCTTTTTTTTTCTTAATAGGATTTATATTTTACAAGAATTTATAATTTTAAAAACTTTATTCATTCTATAAATATCCTAGTACTTCATTTTCACAATTCAGCTATATACGTCATTTATTTTTCTATTACATATATTTAAAAAAGAAAATAATAAAATAATAATAAAATAACCCTATAAGAAATTTATATATTAAAATATATCTGTTTTTATATTTGTAAAAATGTATAATATATACATAATTATTACATATAAAAAATAAGAAATAAAGAATTATAAATACATAAAAATATGTTAATTATGTATCTTAATATTATATTAGTATATTTATATAATTTATATATATAATTTTTCTAAATAATTTATATAAAAGTTTATATAATTAATTTATTATAATACCAATAAATTTTAATTTTGATGTATTACTATTTAACATTAATTTAAACTTATATAATTATATAATATAATTTAATTAATAAATAAAATATAAATTCTATTAAATTTATAACTTAAAAAAAAAGATTAAATAAAATTATGAAAATTACTCAAAAATCATAAGTTAGAATTTATAGAATATTAAAAATTATTTTCAATACAAAATACAAAAATAAACAAAGAGATATTTTAAAAATTATACCTTTAAAATTTTAAATTAATATAACAAATCAATATAATGTCATATAATAAATTTATAAATAATTAAAAAAAATTGCAAATAAATATAAGAGTTTAAATAATTAAAAAATTGCTTTAAATAATTAATAAAATAAACTAAACAAAATATATTTAATAGAAATAAAATTAAATTATAGCTAAAAATAAAATAGATTTGTCAATATAATTTACAAAAATTAAATTGATATAGAAATTTAATTGACTATTATGCTGAAAATTTAATAAACATTATATAATTATTTAAAGAAATTAAATTAACTAACTAATCTACAAGAAATAAACTTTAAAAAAATAATTTTAGCATCAAGATTATTAAATAAATCTTTAATAAAAATTTAAATATTACAATATTAATAATAAAATACAAATATTTTATTATAATAAGAATATTAATTAACATAAAATATAATATAAATAAAAATAAAGTTTATTAACTAGGGAATGGTTTCAAAAACTATTATTAAGTCTGATGTAATGAAAATGACTAACTACATATTTACTCAAATTTTGAGTAAACAGATATTTGAATATTTTTATTATTTTACATAGTATTATATAATTCTACATTAATACTTTAGACTAAAAATAATTATTTTTTTAAATTAATAATTTAATTTACTTAATCTAAAATATAAAATTTACTTATATTATATAATATTTCATTAATTCAATTATTAATTATTAATTATATATATATTAAAATCTATAATA